CAAGAATGTCAATTATATCAGCGTACGAATGGTCAGCTGGCATCAGTTGTTGTTCGTCCGAAAGAAAGAAAATGGGCTTGTGACCGATTTATAAGAAAAATTTATATATATCATTTGATGTGCATGAAGTTTGGTACCTAAACAACTGTTTGGGACCGATCTATTTAAAAAACCTGTGTTTTGCTTGGTATTTATAATGGAACTTTTCTGCGTTTATATATGGCAAGCTTTTTTTTCTGGAAATCGGTCGCAAAAAATCTAATTTTGGTTCGGTTTATCTAATATTTGGAAGATAAATTGCTTATTGCCTGAGACCAGGGACCGATTAATTACAAAACGTCGCATTTAAGATTCGGTTTTCTTTATATTTCTATAGATTAATATGTCGAAACTATTCCTTCCGAGGCCAATATATTCGAAAGATTATATGTTTTTTCGATTTGCTTTAAGTTTGCATGTTTTAAATAATACATTTTTATGAGAACCTTTGACATTTTTTTTAAATAAATTTAACTTTAACGAAAACTATTAAAAAATCTTATTAGAACCATTTTTAAATTTCATACCAACGAATTAGCTGATATAAACTAGTATTTTATAGATTGTATTATTGGTATGTTTTACCAAAAAATCATAGAATTTTTTAATTATGTTAGACAACCTAGCGCTGATGGTCGCCAATATAATTAATTTCGTCGTGCTCTGATTTAAAATTGAAGAAAAAATCTCAATTGATGCTCAACGACAAGCAATGTAATGTGCTTTCGCATCTACAATTTCAAATTAAAACAAACAATACATAACAACTTAATTCACAATCGACTATTTATAGCCGAGAGACCAGTTTTAAACATACCGACACACATTCACCGTGGGAGTGGGAAATACAATTAAAGCACGCAAGTCAGATAGCCAGAAAAACTTTATAACCACTAATAGAGTTGATGAAGCAGAGATAACAAGCATACACTGATGGCGGCAAATAAATGATAGCATAATTTGGCAAAAAAAGAATTACATTTCTTATAAACATATATACATAAATATAAAAAAGTAATTACACAATTTTCCCTTTCTCGCAAAGACCATAGGCCGATAAATACAGTAAATCTACCCCAAAATGGTATCGGCATGGTATCTTCACTTTAGCAAATGTTGGTACCAAGAACATAAGACGATCTCACAAGTTACGACCCATCTCGGTTTCATCGTTTTTTTAAGTAAATCAAAATTTATTGAAAGAGCTTGTTTTTTGCTTATCCTGAAATAGCAAGGAGCTCAACCGAAAATAGCTTCAATGGCTAAAAATTATATATATGTATTTTATTTTTATATTTATTTTATTTATTTTTTTTTAGAATATCAAATGATATTTATATGAAGAAATTTTTTTTTTTTTTGCAAATTTCAGGAATTACACCAAATACCACTTCTTTTATTATAAAATATATTTATATCAAGGCTACTTCGTTACAATAAATTTTACGTTAACTAACCAATTTCCATCGCTTCCATTGAAACACTCAAATTTGTTATCAAAATAAAATTTACTCCGTTTTTTCCAAAGCGAAATGCTGTCGTTAATGCTAAATCGTTAACAGATAATGTTAAATGCTGAAATTGAACTGTGCTCTGCTATGAGATTAACAGCGCATTTAAATTTTAACATTTTATATTATCTGTTAAGGATTTAACAGAACAGCACAGTACAGCTTTAACCTTTAACATTATTTGTTAACAATTTAAGCAGCCATTTTAGCGCTAACAAATCATCTCGTTTCGATAGTTCATTTAGTTAAACTTACTTTTCATATTTCTAATATATAAAATGCGTTCTATGAAAATTAATTGCGACCACCAGTGTGAGAATTTAAATTGCAAAAACAAAATCCCATTCACGTTTTTGAAGCCATTAATTTTATAGTCATATATTTTGACCATAAAAGCACTCAGGTGATAAAACGTTCAGGCGGGCGATCAGCCGGTTAACTGAATCCGCGGCTTATTTGGTGTACTTACCTATGGATAAGCCTGCATTTTTTAACAACACTAGCCCGAATCACATACTTATACTACATGCATGGGGTAATGTGAATGTGTGTGATTTGGCATTTTAAAGAGTTTTCTGTGCAATTCCATTTACCAGCGATTGATAATTTCACACTTTTATTATTGCACTGTTATTTATGCGCAATATCCTGTCCACCAATCCATGAACGAGCGATAGTCCGGCAGGCCAACTGATGGTGACAGGAAGGAAGGGGAGCAATTTTTTTTATGTTGTAGAAGAAATGTAGCCCTACGCTATTTCAATAAAGCTTTAAAAATGAAATTATCGCGTGTTTTGTTGTGACAGTTTTTATTGTATTTTCTTACTTATTGTTTTTTTTCCGCAACTTTGCACGTCAACTTGCACAGCGCAGCAGTAAAAAGCTTAACGAAACAATAACATGTTAACGTTGGTGCTGTTGCTTACACGCAGCCATACAGCAGATGGTGGTAATTAAGTGTTAAATAATATTGATGGCATAGGCAAAAACAAATACTGGGTTTTATCATGCTTGCAGTAATATTAACACAAAACATTACGGCTCCCATCAGCCAAAGAAAATACTGCAATTATAGTAGAGTAGCTGCAGTGTGCATGCTGCAAATTAATAGTAAATCATTGCATGCACTGACAGGGGAAACACACACACACACAAACACACGCACAAAAAGTGCTTACGTGATTCATGCATACCCAATAAACATTTAATGTGAGTTATTTTACAACGCCACTTGCTACAAAAAAAGAAAAAGACCTACTCCGGAACTGTATACTCGCATGTTGTGCAAATCGTGCAAATTTATTACCAAAATAATGGTTTGCTTCGCACAACGCATTGCGATAGACATAACCACCAAACAGTGCCGGTAATTCGAGCAACCATAGATCGATTTCACAGCACATTTACTCTACTGGATAATGCGCATCCTCAGAGGTGCCGTACCGTGCGCATCGAATACGCTATTGCTGCTGTGAGGCAGAGTATTGAAGAAGGCCGAAATAAGGCCATCCGCCATCGCACGTACCAATTGGTGCTGTGCTCATCCACTTTATGAAAGCTTTGGCGGAAGCATCTTGGTTTGTGAACAACCAGTAAGTGAGAGTCACGTTCGGTGAATCTGCTAAAAGGAGATAACTATAACCCCCCTTAACTTTAATACACTTATTCCAATGATCCTCCCATAATTATATGCCATCCCTATAATATCATTCCGAAGCTCTGCAAATACCCATCTACAGCTGTAATAGCTTCATTGTTTCGACGAAAAACGCTTATCGCGCCCGAATTGTTTCAGGTTTCTGAAGAGGTAGTAGTCGCTGGGAGCCGAATTTCTGGTGAATATGGTGGATGCTCAAGCAATTCGTACTTTAATTCGTTGATTTTTGTCATTGTTAAAACACCTTAACGAGAAAACGCATTGTCGAGATGAAAAATGATTTTTTTGTGATACAAATCAGGTATTTTTCAACGAATCTTTTCATCCAGCTTAACAAAATACATCTTGTATCCCGAAAAAAATGGCATCAGCCATAAAACTCCTTGCTAAGCGTTGTGACTTCACTTGTTTTGAAGCTGAACAACTAGCTTCAGTCCACTGTAAACGTTCTTGTTTCAATTCAGGAGCATGGCGATAGATCCAAGTCTCATCCATGGTTATAAAACAACGCAATAAATCGGTTTTATTCTACTTAAAATGCTCTAAATTACGCTGAGAGCCTCGCTTTCGATCCAGTTTTTGTTGAATGGTTAAAGTGGGCAGCACTAGCTTTCCAAAGAGCTTTTTCATATACAATTCGTTATGTAAAATATAAAGTACTCGTTTTTATGGGACGCCTATGGAATTAGTAATTTCACGTTTAGTTAAACTCGGATCTTTACTAATAATATTATGAACTTTCTCATTGATCTCCGGTGTGGTTGCGGTTTTTGGTCGTCCTTCGTGTGGATCGTCTTCAAGCCTAGTACGACTCCTTTTAAATTCACCAGCCCTAAACTCAACGGTGCGTTATGAAGGTGAGGACTTCTTATGTCCTTCTAACGATTGCTCATAAATTTATTTTGCTTTTAAACCTTTCAAAACAAATAATCTAATCACTGCGCAATATTCAATCAAAAAAATACTTTGACACGTCAACTTCCAATGGAATGAATTCACAGAGTGACTTGCTTGTGTTCTCACGACAGATCTACCAACTTGACGGAAAAAAAATTTGGAGCTACTAGTAGTGATGTTTCTTGATGACGTCAAAAATGTCAAGCCAAAGGAGAACGCTTACCACCTGATCCTTCCATTCCTCTTCATCTGCTTCCACAGCAGCGAATACTTTCCGAGGACACTCCTAACCAGCGTAGCCGTTATATTTGAAATATTTCAAAGCACTGTTCTGCGGAATAGAGTTTTCCCGCTTGATATGGATTTTTTTCATATGTTTAACCTCAAAATTCATTTTTTACATTCATATTCCAAAACTAACTACAAACTGCATTCTTTAAAGCTCGTGCTTGGTTTTGCTGTGAGAAATTTCGCCAACCTTATCGAATGCGATCTCTACTTATTTACTTGCTCTCGCTTACTCTAAAGCCGATTCTCAAATTTCTTGCTCTTCCGTATTCTAATGAAAGAGGCTTATTTTCAAGGGAAAGGCTTTTGGAATATTAAACTGTGTATTCTTGGCTATTCGTTATGTGAATTAAACCCATTCTCTGCCGCACGAAACCCCCTCTGTCACCCAAAGCAGCACCGCACTTGTTCCGCTAAACGTTGACTACCTATCTATGAATCTCTTTTTAATTGAAATCTCACCATGTGGTTTATCTTAAATGTTAACATTTTAATTACAATTAATTTCCATTTTCGCGTATTTTACTATTTTCTTTTATTAATTAAATTGGCAATTGACAATAGAAAATCGTTTACTCCATTACATTTCATCTGTTTTCCATTTACAGAAGATAATGCATAGGACAACCGAAATGCTGCGGCGACTATTAGATGAACTCGAACGCCTGTCACAAGTGAAATTGCAACAATTATAACAACACTAGAGCTATAAATGTCAACTGCAGAACCGACGCGCCAGCAGTCCAGCATAGCCACGAGATTGGATGACGTCCGGCAGTTAAATTAGTTTTAAAATTTTACAAAATCGACAATGACGTTAACACGGGATTGAATTGAATAGAAATGCACACACCCTGCGAAGGTGGAAGGAAATGTATGTAAATATACAGATGTGTGTGTGCTATACTGAAAACAAATGAAATCGATAATCGAATGCCAATCAACGTAACAAAATATCAAAATACAAAAACAACGAACTCGTATTATACCCCGTCAACTAATAAATGGACAGGCAATACACGTATAAACGCTTCTAAATTCACTGTGTGCCCGTTACATGGCTACTTGTGTATATGCCAATGTTTGAGGGCGAATAAGTAGTGCAGTTTAGCAGACGATTTAAATTGAACCTAGCGGGAAAAGCCAGAAACAACAACAACTGACTCGCCATTCTGGGTGCATGGCTCAGTGTCGGAACACAGCGAGTACGCGAGCACCGAATGCAATCGATCAATAATATACAATACTATGAGGAAATCGTTTTAAATGTACAAAATAGCAGAGTATTTCTCTGTTGGAAATTGAGCAATATAATCACGTTAAGTAATAACGAATAACAATAAAACACCTCTAATTATTAACTGATCACACGCACATAACAACGACAACAACAATTCTCCTACCAGTCATCGGCATTACCGCTACCAACACCACCATTGGCACACAACCATTGCTGACAATTGCCGTCACGCAAAATGACATTTAAATTATTTCGACGCGGCTCAGCGCGTTGTTTCGGTCTGCTGTCTGCGTTTGTCACGATCTTACTCTGCCTCTATTACATTTCCATGGGGCAACAGCAAGAGGAAACGCTCCAGCAGCAACAGGGCAAAGACACGACAGCTACCTTCGGTAGCGGTTTTGGCGGTGCGGGGACGACCGGTTTAAATTCACCACAACAACAATTCTACAAAGCGAACATGCATAATGCCAAAGTTAAAAATGAGCGTGGTAATGTGGAGAAGAACGGTGTTGTACAGAAGTCTGCAATTGGCAGTGGCGCCAATGCACCGCAATTGTCGGCAGCAGCAGCAGCAGTAACAACCACTTTGGACAATACGAAAGATGGCATTGACATGACCGCAAATGGTGATGCGCTCGCCAAGAATCCCGACTGGGGTGAGGTGTGCTATGTATTGGATGAGCGTGACACGAATATCACAACGAATGAGGAATATGGAAAATTTGATTTCCAGGTAAGTGCACGGAATTGTATGTGGTTTCTTATACAATGTAATGGAGCAGCTTATGCTTTGCGTACAAAGATGTGGAGGCAAAGGGAAAGAGTAATTACAGATTTGTAGAAGGTAATGCATCGACCGTTAAATGCTTAGTTGAAAACACAAAATATAATAAACAGCAAAAATGAGAAGGAAAAAAATTCACATAAAAGGCAGTTTCAGAGAAAAATAACGGTTTAAAAAATCCTTCAAAAATAATGGATCTCTGTTTTGGTGAAAATAGAAGAAACAACATCAGAAGTTCTTATAAAAAAAAACCATGATCAAAAAAATTCCACTGATTAACCGCAGCAGGCAAGCAAGCAAGTCGACCAAACATACCCCAGAGAGCAAATACCAATTTATCACATCCAAAGTTTTCAGAGTACTTCTAAGCTCTTACGTCATACCTCTCTTCAATGTATTAAAAAGGTACAAACCAATATGATAAAGCAAGATAAAAGTGAATCAAAATCTGTCTAATTAATTCTCTCCCGCTATTGTGGTTTCTATACCGTTGACACAATTCAAACAAACTCTCCAAATATTTCCTTCAATTAAACACAACCCAATCGCAGCCAACTTGTCCCCAATTTGAGCCTAGAAATCATGAGCAAAGTTATTGAAAATTTGTCACAAGATATTTGAAAAGACAAAATCAATGAACATATAGCCTCTATGAAGATGAAAGAGTAACCATAAACCATAAAAAAAATGTTCTATACGTAGCATTACCATTAAGATGTCCTGAGCAGGACCTTACACTTCATGGTACAAAAATTCTATGAAGGCAGTTTCACTTCGAAATTTTTGACGCTAAACGTATTTGCTCAGAAATGTTTGCTCTTGCCTCTTATAAAATTTTCAACTTGGAATTATTTTTGAGGTTATCTTCTAAGCAGGTGCTATAATATTGAATACACATATGGATTTATTAAAATATTTATTTCAAGTCGGTTTTCTTAGGCGGCAGAAGTAAGAAAAGCATTTGCTAGATAATTTGGTAGATAAACAAAATGGAAAGGGTTGACTTCTTTTACTTTTTTGTCGAAACTGAGGCTTATTGGTTTTCTCAACTATTTGCGGAAAGTCCATGGTTTGGGTCCCTAGTCATAGGAACTGCGGGGTCGATGAACCGACCGGATAGGGTAAACCTTGCGGTTCGCTTTCGATTTCTGGAAAATTCCTTCTTTGTTTGCTGAGCATAGCTTGCATCTTTAGCGATCATTAATCTCCGGAACTTCATAAAATACGTTTAAGCATCTGGAAAGGTGAGGGTAATCTTCTTCATAAAATTAACATAGGTATCATCAAGAGATCAGGGTTCTGAGATCGAGCAAACTGTTTAACTAGCTAACTAAATTTTATAATGAATTTGCACTGCTCCAAAAAACCCAAATATATTAAAACAATATCTTGTTTGCTTACAAAATTTCCTTGAAACATCTCTAAAACTATGAGACTAATTTGCCTTCAGCTCTTCTTCTTGAAGTCGATTTGATTTGAATCTTTTTTGGTCGAATCTCTACCCTTTCTGCTACTTTCTTTCGGCAAACACTCGATTAAGTCCACTTTTAGAGGTTGGAAAATGCATTGATTTTGGAATATTAAAACATGAACAAATATGATAATTTTCCATATATTTTTATTAAAAAATGGTAGATTTTTTTAAGAGAAGAAGGTAGCCCGGAGTCAGCTGTGAAGAGAGAATGAAACTACCTTTAAATTGATGTATCATGGAGTACATGCTGAAAATTACTTTCGCATTTATTTTAAGAGTATTTATGAGATATCAACAAACGAGCCTACTTTTTAGCTCACCATCAAAAATCAATCTCAGAAATTATCGATATTTTAAACTGGTTATTGCACATTTCCAACTTCGTGTAGTGAATATGATTGTCAAAATTCCACCAATGATCGGTTGCTGAATTTGAAGTTATTTTGGAAGAAGCTCGTTTCGTAATAGTCAATATGACCTCTTTTAAGAGTTAAAATGTTCAGCGAAATCGTTTCTTGTGAAATTTTGTCATATATATACGTATATATATAGGACTCACCCTTTTACCTTACACGGTTGGTAAATTTTGTAAATATTCTGTACTTACAGCCTGAATGGATCCACACAAAGGAATATTGGGATCGAGGTTTCGAAGAACGCTTTGAAGCGCAAAAAAAGGACTACAAAAGACCACCATTAAAGGTTATAACATATACATAAATACGTGACGTATGGTTATTATATTAGAGCACTAGATTCGAGGATATCGAGCATTTCAAGTATTGGGATACTCGTTCATGGCTTAACAGCTCAAAGGGTTGTTTGAAATTTTCGAGCAGCAAAATAAAAGATTTAAGTTCTATCTGAATTCTCTTTAAATATCCTAAAGTATTTCAATCGTCATAACACTTTGCATGATGAAATTTAAAGTAAGAACAAAATCGGCGAAACAATTCAAAAAAGTCAAATGATTTTGTTTTAAATGCTGAAGCTCGTGATGGCAGTTTTTCGAACATTGATTAGATGTATGAGTGCTGATGGTTCAAACGCTCAAATTACTTGAAACTGCTCGAACAAAATCTTGAGCTCTAATATGAAAACATATAACACGATTTTAAAATTTAAAATTTCAGTTTAGAATTTCGCAATAAACTCTTTTCGTCTACAGATCTTCGTCGTCCCCCATTCTCACAACGATCCCGGTTGGCTGAAAACATTCGTGAATTATTTTCAATCAGATTCACGGCAGATATTAAATTTGGTAGTTACAAAAATGCAAGAGTACACAGATATGACCTTCATCTGGTCGGAGATTAGTTTTCTACAACTGTGGTGGGATCAAGCGCATCCAACCAAACAACGCGCCCTTAAAAAGCTTATCAAATCGGGGCGTTTTGAAATCACGACTGGCGGCTGGGTGATGACCGATGAAGCGAATGTGCATCTCTATGCCATGTTAGATCAACTCATTGAAGGACATCAATGGCTACGCAACAATCTAAATGTAACACCGACCGTTGGTTGGTCAATAGATCCATTCGGACATGGTAGCACAGTACCTTATCTACTGTCTGGCAGTAATTTTGAAGGTGCGATTATACAACGTATACATTATGCTTGGAAACAATGGTTTGCGCGTCAACAAAAGGGTGATTTTATGTGGACGCCATATTGGCAGCAACGTGGCAAAACGGCAACGCAACATGGACAGCTACTAACACACAATATGCCCTTTGACATTTACTCAATAAAGGGCTCATGCGGTCCGCATCCATTTATTTGTTTAAATTTCGATTTTCGTAAAATACCTGGCGAATATACGGAATATTCTGTGAAAGCGCAATTCATAACTGAAGACAATGTTGAGTCCAAAGCGCAAGTTTTGTTGGAACAATATTCACGCACGGCCTCGCTGTTTCCGCACAATGTCGCACTCATACCGGTGGGAGATGATTTTCGTTACAACAAAGAGCGTGAAGTGGATCAGCAGTATACGAATTATAAGAAGCTAATCGATCATATAATGGCCAACAAGCGGCTCTACAATGTAGATATTTCGTTCGGTAAGTTTCAATCAAAAATCAGTCGATTTTCCGGCCTCATTCAAAACCGTAGATTAGCCGTGAAAGGCACTCTAAAATCCTATATTATAAAAATAATAAAATTATGCTTTTCCAAACAGGCACACCGCGTGATTACTTCAACGAAATCCGTCGACGTACAGCCTCGTTTCCGACGCTCAAAGGAGACTTCTTTGTGTACTCAGATATTTTCTCAGAAGGTCGGCCGGCCTACTGGTCTGGTTACTACACCACTCGTCCATTTTATAAATTACTTAGCGCTGATTTAGAACACAATTTACGTGCTGCGGAAATTCTCTTCACGGTGGCCTATAATACTGCGCGTCAGGTACGTCATGTCAATGCCATAAAGATCTTTGAGAAGAATTATGAAAAGATGATACACGCGCGTCGCAATCTTGGACTCTTTCAACATCATGATGCAATCACAGGCACTTCGAAGGCGGCTGTAATGCGTGATTATGGCATGCGTTTGTTCGAAAGCATACAGGATGCGGTCAAAATGCAAGAATCCACTATTGAAATGTTACTACAGGTCGACAGTGAGCGGCATAATTTCCTACTAAGTGAGCTGGAACGTGATAACTTCAGTAAACTGCCACGCAAGACGCCGATACCGTTAAACGGTAATGGTGCTACTGATGAATTTGATGAATTAAATACAAACACTGGCAGTGCTTCGTTTGTGATCTTCAATTCGTTGGCGCAAAAGCGTTTAGAAGTGATTACGTTGCGTTCACCAGTGCCGAATGTTAAAGTGTTGAATGAGCATGGCGAAGAGATTCGTCTGATGCAAATTAATCCAGTTTGGAATATAACTGATGCCTACGAGATTAGCATCGCGGGTGGTGTGGGTGCCAATAGTGGTATGGGACGCATAAGAGTTTCTACTCGTCAATATGAGGTGATGTTCATTGCCGAGTTGGAGCCGCTTTCGTTGGCGACATATAACCTCGTTGTGGTGGATGAAAAAAACTTTAGTCAGCCAACAATGGCTACGATTTACTGCGACGACTGTACAGACCCAACGGTCCCAACTACACCTAATGCAAGCACAAATTTTGTGGTCAAAGCCAAACCATCTGGTAAATAATCGGTTGTTTAATGCACACGTAAATAAATAATTATTAACAAATGTTCCCTTTACTTCCCAGGCGATATTCAACTTGAAAACAACTTTGTGCGTCTACTCTTCGATGAGAAGAGCGGTTTTCTGAAGACCGTCACACGCAAAAATGAAAATGTACAGTCGCAACGTCCTATGCAATGTGCTATTAAATTTGCCGCCTACCGTAGCGCACAGTTCCATTCCGGCGCTTACCTCTTCAAAACCGATCCCGAGCAAAATGAGGCGGAAAAAGATGTGCTTGATCAATATGAAGATGTGCGTATAATTATTTCCTCAGGCCCAATCGCTAGTGATGTCACAGTCATTTACGGTCCATTCTTGGCGCATACCGTACGCATTTTCAACACACATACCCATCTTGATGCAGCCATGTACATTGAGAACGATGTAGATTTTGAGCCGCCACCAAAGAATCGTGAAACAGAGCTTTTCATTCGTTTTATCACAGATGTGGATAATATAATGACAGTGAAACGTGACGATATACTAAAGGAGGCTGATACAGTAGCGGAGCTGCCAGTATTTTATAGTGATCAAAACGGTTTCCAATATCACAAGTAAGTGGGTAGATAAGGAATTTTTTATATCGGTCATTTTAAGAGGATACAAAATTGCATATCTTATAATTTTTATTAATTTTCATTTGAAATTTAATAGCAATAAAATATTATTTTCTTTATAGGCGCATCAAAGTGCCTGCAATTGGCATTGAAGGCAACTATTTTCCCATTACAAGTGGCGCTTTCATACAAGACTCGCATGTACGCTTCACACTATTGACCACACATGCACAGGGCGCCGCCTCTTACGAACCAGGTCAATTGGAGGTAATGCTCGATCGACGTACACTATATGATGATTATCGTGGCATGGGCGAGGGTATTGTGGACAGTCGCCTGACACGCCATAAATTTTGGGTACTCATTGAGGATATGCCAACGAAGAATGAAAACAGCTATCAAATACCTAGTCTGTTAGCCAATCAACTGGCCAACGGCTTACGATATCCACCGAATTTATATTATGTCGAGACATTCGATGCACCAGCTGTGAAGTTGAAACCAAAAGCTACATTACTCGATCACGGTGCGTTGCCATGCGATGTTCATCTATTAAATTTGCGTACACTTTCCGAGGAGCAGCTACAGCTTTTCCCATCCACCTCAGCGTTAATGGTATTACAGCGTCAGGGTTATGATTGTGCCATTGGGCAGAATATTGATATAACACGAGTGTGTGCTGCATCTGCGAGTGGTCTTGGTCAAGTGGGTTTCAACAGCTTGAATATTGCACATTTAGAAACTACAAGTTTAACAGGCACGCTGCGGGCAGATGAACGCAAGCGTCTGAGTTCGTTTGCCGAGATAGCGCTAAATCCCATGGAGTTGCGCACTTTTAATGTAACATTTAAGTTTTAAAATAGTTATTTTTTATAAATTTGTGTTAACTTATGTTGTATGAATGTCTGGTTGTGTAGCGTATGCATGTGTGTGTATAGGTACTGTGTTTGAGAGTACTCATGCTAGTTTGACAGAGTAAACGCGCTCTTTGCGTAAATGTCTGAAATATTTGTATATATTATTTTATTATAAATTAAACAAAATCCTCTTCTTTTTTTTTGCATGATTACTCTTTTTGATATGAATGCCGCAGAGAGCATGTATGTATTATATATTTACAACAAATTTGTTAATGCTTCAAATATTTATTACAAAAGAAAGACATTTCAACTCACTGAATTGAATAAAAAAACTGCCTTTAACATTTCCCTACTTATAACATAACTCAAAACAAAACAACTAGGTTTCAGAAATGTTTTTATTTCATTGTATTGCTAATTGAAATTTGTATGAATGTCGGGCCCTTTCGGATTGACTCTGCTCAATGCTTGAGCGTAAATTGTGTATAGAAATAGTATAGAAATACTTTTCTTATTGAACGCTTATTTTTCTTAGTAGTACAATGTAATTACAATATATTTCGTTACCCACATAAACACTTGCACCCAGTACAGTACAGTTAAGCAACCATTCCAGCAGCTATACACTATTTTTAAATTCAATATACAAGTATATACATATATATTTTCGAATATGTTTACAATAGATTAGTGAAATGTTTTAGAAATATGACAATTATTTTATTTATTTGTGAAAAAATTGATGTCAATAGTAAATTACTTCTTAATTTCGTTTAAGTTTTTCGCTTTTATGCTTGAATCTAACGCCAAACAAGAACAACGCTTTACTACTTTAATAATATATTACTCAAATATTGAGTTTTCCTTGCACTCGGTTACCTCTAATCTAACTTGCAACTATTTTCTCTTGTGCTTTCGCATCAAAAGAACACCGAAAACGCAGTATTTCGTTATGTGGTAGTGGTAATATACGCGTAAAACCACTTAATATTGAACAATATTTTATTTATATATTTATTTTTATCAAACTAGTATTCAGTTAATCAATCAATTACGAAATATTTAAAACAAATTTTTTTTTAATGATTTATTTCACTTACTCAGGCAGCTCATTGCAAAAAAAAAAAAAATTATTGAATTTTAATTTTATTTATTTTATTTTTTTTTTTTTATAAAAAAGAGCATTTTAGCATTAAAGACATAATTTCGAATGCGAACAATATAGATAAATAAAATAAGTTTAAATAATTATACATAGCAAGCATTAAGGGTATATGAAGTCAGAACAAAAAACGTTTAGTAGTAAAATACTCAGATATACATATATATTAGCGTAAATACAAACATTATATAGCACTGCATTACATAGGTCAATTTTTTTAATGCACACCGCGCGTTGTAGTTAAGTTAAGTTTTTCAGTAATGTTTAAATGGCAGACACAAAATAATATTATGTATATTTGTTTAAAATAAATTAAGCTTTATCTAAAATCAAATGAATCAACCAACCGACAAAAAGCTGAAATACACTAAAATATTACATCAATTTCACGCTTACTTAAAAAACAAAAAATTAGCTGCGCGTGCAGTAGCCGCAGCCATTGGCATCCATTAACAAATTGTGTGAATAGAGTTATATATTAAATAAACGAATATATGAAGTAAGCATAGATTTTTATATAGCCATCCAGTGTTATTAGCTTTTTCTGATTAGCGAATTTAATACAAAAAAAATCATTCGAATATTTTGCCAAGTTTTGCACTAAATATAAATGAAATGAAATTGAAAATTAATTTAATATAAATAAAAAATTTAATACCAAAAATATTTGTATGTATGTACGTTTTTTTTTTTTGTTTAGTTTCCTTCAGACTGAATAGCATAAATATTATAGTTAAATAATTATTTCATAATTTTTAGCAGTTTTTTTTTTTTGTTTAATTTACGTTAAGTGTTGCTTGTGTTAAATTATATTTGATATATGTATATATATTTATTACATACATACGCACTAATTATTTACTTATATAAGCAGCATCACTCGTAACTTTTTTATTTTGCCAAATTCTTTGGAGTCTTTTTTATATTAAAATATATTAAGAGTTTAATCTCATTTTCATGTCAGCTCGCTATAACTGTTTCTTTATTTCAAAATTTCCAATTAAGGAAAACTCCTTAAAATCATCATCTACTCTACCACACTTCAAATATCAATCACTCCCAACAAATAGTAATATATTTTGTCTGTAACTCATATAAAAAATTTGTTATAAAGTTTACGTTTTTAAGGGGTAAAGCCACTCTAGAGGTTGAAAAATAGGCACATTTTTAAAAATTTATTGTAGGAATATTTAACCATTTCATTGAACATATATTGAAGTAAAAAAATTCTTTGAATATTATTTTGTTGCAAAATGGCGGTGATTATCATTATTAAATGCATTTTTTTTTTTTAAAGACATCTACGGGAGGACAGGAAAGCAAAAACGTTTATGAACTACAAACTATGGTCTTTGAAAGTACGTAGGGATTTATTTTTTAAATAATTCTAATGATAGCGGATGACTTTTTTTAATGATTGATTTTGGATTACAAAAATACGCACCAAATTATTAAAAAAAAAAAACTTACATTTAACCAAAAAGCGGCTACGTACTTCCTAAAAAAATTCATTTGTGAAGCTACCATTAAAATTCCAGATAAATCGATGCAATTAAGTGCGAAAAATCTGTCCCCCCAGTTTGGAAAATGTGATTTTGAGACAAACGCAGCAAAATAGAAAGTTCAGCTATTTGAAATATATTTTTCACCTTTAAAACCATTTGCACATTATTCTGGGGCCCATAGGTACCCTGTGAATAAAAAAGAAATGCGTTTTCCAAAATCCAATCGTGGCTTTACCCCTTAGTACTCATCCTTAGATGTAACGAAAGTACCATTTCTGAATACGATTAAGCTTCGATGTAAATTTTAAGTCTAATTGTAGAATATGTTTCGAACTTATGTACGTCAAATGAACGCAAGATAGAGAAATATGTAGCTCTTATCACGTACTGAAATCTGTGTAATACTATGTATTTAAAATCATTCACTTTTCTCCAGTTTTCCAAAAATTAGCCCTAAGTAACTTTTAATACAAAGCGGGAGAAAAAGAGTTTTCCATATTTTTTGAAAATTTTTTTTATTTTAAAATACGTTGATAAAGATTTTATTTAGTTATTAAAAAAATTTAATTACGATAAAACTATAAATACATCCAAGAATATGTGCACTACATGCTTAACACTTACAAATACATATGCGATTCACTTAACTTCCTACATAAATCATACTTATTTCCATCGCGAGCGAACTCAGTACAATGTGAATTAAAAAAAATTGCATCAGTTAAATAATACTAGTAAATTTATTGTAATTTTATTTCCAAAAATAATAATAAAATAAGAACAAAAACAAAAAATGCAATACTGTAAGTCACTTAAACCGATCAAAGCACCGAATGTTGCAATTATTTAATGAAAATATAAAAAAAAAAGTTCTAATTATTAGCCCACACCTACACTAAGTACTAAGTAATTTAAGAAAAGACGAGAAGAAGAAGAAGAAAAACTAGCAATGGAATGTTAAGTATTAAAGTAAAAATGCATAAACTGAAGGAATTCGTCAAATACAATATATGTACGTGTAAGACGCTGTGGGATATGTGTGTGAATTGTAGTTACTAAAATGAATGCCTAGAATAGTTTATTAATAGCGAATGTGTTTATTGAGTAGTTAATTTAATATGATATACATGCATATGTATGTATGCAACGTAGCATAAAAGACATTATATGTTCTTATATTTAAGTAAAATAAAATATAATAAACAATATGAAAATCACTGAGAAGTTGATGATGAATAAATATGTATGTATGTATGTATTTCAACATATATAACACACTATATTAAAAACAATGATAAATTAAGCTTCTTTTTATTGGTGGTTAGCATTGCATGCTGCCATTAGGAAGGCGCGTGCTCACATGCTGGCACAACAAACATCCAACAGTTATAGAAATTTATTTTAATAAAAAATTGCGGTCGCCCCTCAGCAAGGAATGTCAACCGCTCGGTGTGAACTTTTGACATGAAACAAAGGCTAATTATAAAAAACCATCAGCCGTTCGGAGGCGACTTAGTATAAACTGTAGGTCCCTCCATTTCTTGGAAAAACATCAAGACGCGAAACCAGAAATTGGAAGAGGAGCTCGGCAAAAATCGCTTCAGCAGTTACAAAGCCCAATTATATATGTAAATAAATTATTTTAGTTTGCTCTAAAAATATCCACCTGGAAGTTGTGGCCGATCTAGGAAGCGATTATTTATTTCATTGAAAATGTTTGACGTCTCTCGGCAATGATTGGCGAACTTCATCGTCTGTTTCTGACAACAGCATTGCTTCTTGCCACTTCGAAAATGTGCCGTTTTGTATTAGGTAAACAGCATATGCGGAATGTTTTGTTTTTCTATTTTAATTGGAAGCTAAGTGCAGCTGAAGCCCATCGAATAGTCGGAAACTTATGATGAATCAATCCCGTCTGATAAGACATACAGAGTTTGGCTTCGACGCTTCAATTTAAACGTCGAAGACACTATTTTTGAAGATGCAGTTAAAACCGAGCGAAACAATTGATGCGTAAGCCTAACGACTACAGCTGGTTTTATCCCACCGACCGTATTCTGCATACCTTGCTCCTACCGACTCTTAGCTTTTTCGACTGAAGCTAAACAATTTTAGGGACACGATCTGGGGCAATCGAAGAATGGCTCAATGATTGGATCTAGGACGGAGAGGACACATTTTTTTAATAATGGTATACGAAATTTGCCAGATAGATGAAAAAAATTATAATAAAGCATTGGACTTCATATATTCATTCAAAAATTGATCTACATTTGTAAGAGCACAAATGGGTCAACATCATAACGCTTTAGGTAAGGTTGAGATCAAGTAGAAGTGGCTGATCCAAAGAGCATTCCGCTTCACTGAATGAAAATTAGTCTCGCTTTCAGAAAAATTTTCATTCACTGAATCGCTTAGTGCATATCACAAATCTGCAAATTTACCTGTTGTCTGCTAACTCCTTCAGGTTGGTGAACGCATGCGATCCGCAAACTTGGGAGAGTAAATCAGAAAGTTAATGGATGATTCCATCTCTTCTTCTTGACATAGAAAGAAGCTTCCCTGACTTTCCACGGTCCACCTTAAGGATCTTACAGTTGCTTCAAGAAAGGGGTAGCAAAAATTTATTTATAATTTTGTAGTTCGCCACGAGTCACCATAAGGTCGTAATAAAGAAAAAGTTAGTTTGTCGGACTGTTATTGAAATCACTTTTTGCTAAGAAAACATATTTTCGATGTCCATCCGAGCAAGGTACGTATTAGTCGTAGATTCAGTGTCAACAGAAACTTTTTTGAAAATTGAATCAAATGGCTTTTAAGTAAGCATACTCGTACGCAGAACATTTTTGCTACAAAATTGTGAATATATATGTATATTTTTAAAAATAAATATGCTTCGTTGTTAGTCCTTCAAATGAAACACTTTATTTCAAATTTTCTTTTCCATACTCAAAAATATTGATAATCTGATTTATAATATGATTTACATAATGTTTTAGTGTTTAGCTTGAGACTGTTTTTCTTATATATATATTAAATCATATATTTTTTAACTAAAAGAACAATTCCGTTTAATTAACGTTTTTTTTTTATTAAAAATAAAATATTTTTTTATTTAATTTATTTCTTCGCTCTTTAATTTTCCTTTGATTTTGAAAACAAACACATTTTTTATTACTATTTGTATATGTGTGTATATGTGCATACATACACACTTATGTATGTATAAAACTAAAATAATATTGCTTACAATTTAAATTACTTATAGGGAAATGTTTAACTTAACTTAAACTGATGCTCCGGATTTATTAATCCGTCATCACTTCATACATATTCACGCCTTTTTTCAGCAGATATCCCTGCAAATTTACACTTTCAACCAAATTACTCACACCACAAGTTATACCCGCGCGAGTTGCCATATCTTTCAGCTCATCGTAATCGAATAGTCGTCGACCCAGTGCATTGGAACGCGCTTGCAACATTTGTATGAATTTCTTTGCTAAGCCCCTTTGGCTGGTTGGTTGATTGGCACTGGCAGTTGCTGGATTCCTATCGATGTAATCATTTAGCGCCGTATCGGCAATGCTGTGGCGTACAATGCATAAAACATCACGTACATGTAGTTTGGTCACCTCCGCGGAGAAATCGATACGCGCACGCGCCTGAGAAAGACGGATGAGACCTTCAAGATGGCTGGGCATGAAAAAAAGGATATTGAAAATTAATTTAAATGTGATAGTAATTTTGTTTTTAAGCGAACATTGAAATAAATGTCGTTTAGATCTTACTCAAATAAAAATAATAATAATAATGATTTAGGCATGGAAATGTTGGTATTTCAAACCATAAAACTCTACGAAAATGCACAATAAAATTCGATTTTCGATCTTCACTTGTTACCAAACATCGAAAATTGAGCTCCTAGTCGCTATTGGGAGCTACGAACGCAACTCGGCCGCAATAGCCGAGTGGTTAGCATTGTGTTCAAACATTTGGAAGGCCAAGGCTCGCGTCCTGGTGTGACCAAACATCCAAAATAACAGCAAACTAATTTTTCAAATTCCGTCAAGCCCTCCGAGTGGGTTTTTGACGTTTTGAGTGTATTCCTGACGTTCGAAGCCGGCGTAAATTAAATATTTAATAGGTTCGTTCATTTGTTGGGAAAACATCAAACCCGAATTTGAGGCTGAAAACCGCTTTTTTTTTGCAAAGTCATCATAACAAAAACATAATCATATACCGACCTAAATACATTGAAATAAATGAATAATGTAAATTATTGGTGAATTAGATTAGCACCACAATCTTAATTATCAATGAAATAAGAATTTTTTTTTAGTAATTCTTGTAAAACCAGTTTTTCGTTTCCAAAATATGCGACTTATATAGTGTTTATGGTGTAAGCTGAAAAAATTTCTAAACATCAACAATTCTAATTATAATAAAATGTAAACCACCGGGTGTATACACTCACGGACAAAATAATAGGCCTACTTAGATTTTATACCCAAATGTGGAAATAAATAAGTTTTTACAGCAGTGAAATTCGGTGCCACTATTTTATTAGAAGCTTAAACCAATGTTTGAAGGTCTCCGATTTTCTAGGTCAAATCTGTTAGAGAACAAAGTAGAGGTCCTTCTTTATGCACTTTTAATTCGCAACTGTGGCAACGTTTGTTCTACGGCAGACCAAATTTTAGGGATTACAAACTAATTACGTGGTCATATTTTAAGCCCTCCGAGACCCGCCCTGACTTCACGTGACCTTTACATTGACCATCCTCCCCTGCCTGGTGCAAGGCGGTTTTGTTTTACTTACTTACTTATTTCCTTTTTTATTATATTAGAATAGGTTTTATTTTAAATTATTAATAAATATTTATCAGCAGTTAATAAATCATTGCAGTCGTATAAAATATCAGCTAACTGTACAGAGCTATTTGGTCAAATTTGCGAGTTAAGCTCTCTTTCGGTCGCGGTACCAACTAGGCTTTGAATTAGTCAAGAGATGCTTTCGATTTGGGCAACACTTCAACTTTTTTGTTCACAGAAAATGACCATACAAAATATTAAAATATATGATTTCTTCTTGAAATCAACATGGCTACGAAACACTATAATTTTCCATTAATTTCAAGCGAAACTTATGCGGCCAATAGTCAGGCAAAAATTAACCACTTCATCGGCAGATAAAAACAAAAACAACGATAAGCATAAATTTCAACACATACATGCATATTTCGGCACAGAAGCTCCATATGTAATAATACAGCTACTTTAGGCTGCGATCAATAACAAAAGTAAATATGTATGTTTGCTAGAATAAACCGCGTAGTAACGATTGTAACGGTCTATAGTTTACGACTCATCGCATGAGTTCTTCATTTCTTTTGTAACTGTCGAAGCATGCGGTAGTTGCTTCCTTGACTTTTGAACAAAAGTAGTAGAAGGAAAAAATGTTTAGAAAGTAAAAGGATGTGCAAAGTCACATGTGAGTGAAGTGCAAATATGAAGAAAGTCGACACTTAATCACTAAAAAAAAGTTAATAAAAAAACCAAGAAAAAAAAGAGCACGATTTTAGTGAAACTATTTTGAAAGTGATTCAAGAACTTTATAATTAAAAAAATTACATATAAGTATACATATATTTTATATATCTACAAAGCAATAATGTTCTCGAAAATATACATATGGCTCTTCACAGCTGTAAGCCACATTGCCTTCATAGCAAGTGGTTATGAAATGAATAGTAAGTGATAAACAATTCGTGATATTTTATTTATTTCCTTATGTAGAAGACAAAGGTGCATACACGCGCATATATCCTTTTTTTATTATACGTCATTAAATTCAAAAAACGGCTTAGCAACTCCATTAACTTAAAACCACTGTATGACCTTGAATATTGAAGAAGGAAGAGCGTAAAATTTTCAAATTAACACAACGTATGTATGTGTAATGCGTATTTGTGCCTGCACGGATCGAACTACTCAAGCCATATGCAACAAGTTTGTGGCTTCAGTCTTCTGTTTTGCTATTAAGTCAAAAATAAAAACAAACCAGAGGCAAAGGTATATAAGTGTGCTTATGTATATATGTATATTTATCCACAAATATGTATATGTGTGTACGCAAAGCATGAATTAACAAAAAATTTCCATTCCAATTCCTGTCTTCAATTTCATATGATGGGATATTTCTAGAATTTGGTAGGACATGTTTTACGACAAAGCAAACGAATGTTGAACTTGAACTCGTTTACCCTTCACTTTAAGTGCAACGAATTAAATTCAATTAAAAGTCGAAAGATAAAAGAGGGAAAATAAAGGCAAAGCCACTGGAATGAAAGCCCGCGCCATTTTTAGCCGGTAAATGTAGCGGAAATTATTTTTTGTGTGCGTGTGTGTGTTGTGTATCCACGACTAAGAGACATTAATTAAAAGATTTAAAATATTTAGTATAAAAACTAAAGTAAATGAGAATGTTGTAAAATAAAAACTATATAAAAAAAATAAAAATAAGAAAAATGAAAATAAAAAAATAATAAAAAAAAAAATAAAATTAAATAAAAAAAAAAAATTAAATAAAAAAAATTAAAATTAAATAAAATAAAAAATATAAAATCAAAACGAAATTTTCAAAACCAAAATTATAGAAAAATAAAAGAAATAAGAAACAAAATAAAAGAAACCCGATATACAAAAAAAAGGGCATTTTATACGAATTTGTGACCCAAAATCTCACATCTGATCAAATTTCTTTTCTATATTATCCTACGATTTCATTGATTTCCGGTGACAGACATTTACATGTAGATAGAAATATATATTAGCAAAATTCATCCTTTTAGATGCTTTCGTGACGGATTTATAACCCAAATTCTCAGATAAAGAAAATTAGTATAGGGACAATGACCTGCCTGATGTGTCAAATATTCAAATAAGTTTGCGGACTACGAAATATTTGAGTTTCTTTAAGCTCGTAGAAAATTGAGAAATATTGAAAACTTGCTTCCGAAATGGTAAATTTTCAATGTCGATTGCATGAAAACTACGCTTGAAATTCGAGGAACAAAAATCGCGATCAATTTCTGCATCAATTTGTGCAGTGAGTTCGCCAAACCAATTCGTTTTCGTACAAATTAGTTCAGTTATGTGCCAGTTCATTGCGTTCAGGAGAATATTGCTATTGTAGCTCAAGGTGTGCGGGAACAGGCTTCAACATACAGCCGACAGCGTTCGCAAGATTAAACAGTTCGCGCACATTTTTCAGCAGGATTTTGCATTAAGACAAAAAAAATACACCTGGTCCAAGGACTAAAACTTCATGACCGTTCGATGTGGCAGATGAGCCACTTTGGCGTAAAAACATATTTGCCGATAAAGCTCATTTTCATTTTCAATGCTTTTAAATGAATAATTTATTAACCGAATTTGAGCCGAGAGGGCTGGAAAGTACCCGTATATACAAATAAACATTGAGCATGAAATTTGGTATTATACATTCATATCAATATAATTTTTTTTGTACTTTGGGATAATCTTTTTCCCACGTCATTGATTTCTCATGCTCATGAGAATTTCAAAGCTGAAAATTCAACAAACAAATTTGCTGTCAAATTTTTTGGTAATTTTTTTCGGTTAAAGGCGCTCACGGATCAATGATATTTCTTATTTATTTATAGTATATCTTATATACTACAATATATAAATATATATACATCAATATTTATTTCTCTTTACACATTTTAAGTGACTGAATATTTTAAAATGCCAAATCTTTATGAATTCGATGATTACGATCGCTGTTTACAAGAATTTAGTAAAAGCCGTGAAACATATTGCTTCGTACGAGCAGAGGTGCTGCCGCAAAACAACTCGGAGGCTTGGCACGCCATCGCTGAGATATCGAAATATAATAAACATCATTTTGATCATCGGCACTTGTATTTCGGTTTATGTTTGCGCTGGTGTAAAGATGATTTAGCCGAAGCTGGCGTTGATGTGGTCAAAGAACTCTACACTGGTTTACTCACAAACAATACAAAGGTACGTAGGTATGTCTGTATGTATGTATTTACGTGTATAACAGCTAAGGGCATGATTTTGATTATAAATATTGCTTGCTTTATTAGCATATATTAATATATATATATATATGTTTATAATATATCATTGGCGCTTTCTAACCGCTGGAGCGATTTTCGGCCGAACTTTTCTTCCAAATCAATGTTTTTCCAACAAATGGACTTTTTCATCTCATTTTTTTCAATTTTTTTTCTTCTAAAAACATGATTCTTTTCCTTTGGGACCGGTTACTTACTTTACTGACAAAGACACCGCTAACGCGATTATAGCCGATTTAACAACATTGCGCCATTCGTTTCGTCTTTTTGCTGTTTGGCGCCAATTTGATACACCAAGTACAGCCAGGTCCTTCTCTACCTTGTCTTTCCAACGGGGTGGAGGTCTTCTCTTTTCGCTGCTTCCCCCGGCGGTTACTGTGCCGCAAAGTTTCAAAGCTGGGATGTCATTAACAATGCGAACGATATGGCAAAGCTGTCTTATATGCTCCTCTTTGCAAATGCGGAAAGGACGTAAATCCTTTGCAAAACGGGCGCTCCGATGTGCATATAGATATGTTCACTTGTTTTCCACCAATATTAACTACGAATTCAATTAAAGTTAGGCTCAACAATATATTGTATTCATCCCAAATCTGATTTCGAAGTGGAAATTATATTTATTTGTTATTAAAAACCTTGAGATTACCTACTCAATATAATAAAGGGTTTTCCAATAAGAGATGTTATTTCGATATTCAAAGATCGATGGTTTCGTTGCTTGTGTGACACGTAGCGTCACCTCTCGATAGCGCAATCCATTCCTTTGCGAAAAGGTCCAATGATCCCGCCGGCAGCATAAACAGCATCAAAAATTTACACGTTTGGGATGAAGAGGCCTTTCAACAATGAATCTTGGGTTTCCGAAGGTCTTTGTTTGTCAATTGTTAAAAAAAACTACTGCTTGAAAAGTGACACCTACTGGAAAAGCAGATTATTCAACATAAGAGCTTTTATTGGAAAACTATTTACTAAGACTTAACCCATTTTAATTAAAATTTTTCATACATCTTTACAGCTGAATACATACGTGAATTTGTTTACCGCCGAGGAGTCAAATCGTCAGCAATATAATACTATTTTGAATCAATGCATTAACTTGAAATTGTTGCCGAGTTATGGCTTAAGAGCCGTTAGCATGATTGAATATTGCGAAACAAACCACACGGTTGTGGAAATGGGTAAGTTTTGTTCGTTTTGTTAGTGTCAAATATAAACTTAACGAAATGATTTTTAATGTAAAGTGAATGTTAAAATGTCTGCTTGCTATGATTTAACAGCACAATTCGATTTTAACGTTTACATTATCTGTTAAGAATTTAACATTAACGACAGCTTTTCGTTTTGACGATAACATTTCCAAATGTTTCAGCCGGAAAGATTGAAATTTTTTGTTTAACATGAATTATATCGTTACGATGCAGCCTTGGTTTACATGTTAAGGCATTTCCAGCTAACCAATATTATAGAACTCTGTGTAAGGCGCAGCAGCCGGCCAATGTAACCTAACCTAACAATATGGCACTAATCATTGTGGCCTATTTCTAGTTTGAGCACGTAAACTTATGATAACTGTAATAATAAGCTGTCGGTATGAGAGGCTTTTAGCATATAATAAATGATTCATCATGAAATGAGAACAGAATGCTGCTTTTTTATGAACATTTGGGATTTGTTTATGTGCTGTTTTATGAGAAATTCATGTAAATTATTTTTTTTTTGTCAAATTGCCAATTTAGACACGTGGAATCTCATCTTTTACGCCGTCACTTTTGTGCTAATTTTATTAGTCGCTGCCAGCAGTTTATTTGATTTTTATCTCAAGCAAACACCTAATGATAAAGATATTTCCAAAGAGGATCACTATAAAAGCGCCGTGGCTGGAATAGGTATCACCATATTTTCTTTACTTTCACACACACAGTGCTTTTAATTCAAAATATTCTTTGTTTAAAGGCAACAAATTATGTGTGAGCTTTTCAATCACTCGCAATTGGTATCGCTTAAATCAGGAGCCGGTCGGAAAATTGGGACGTGATTTACGCTTCCTTGATTGCTTCAAATTTTTCTGTATGTTCCTGGTGGTGTTTGCTCATACCAATTGGATACTCTATGAGGGTGCTATAAGCAATCCACAAGATAATGAGCGCTTGCTGCACACAGTGGCGGGTACACTGCTAATATCCGGTGGTTTGATTACGATTACATTCTTCGTATTTAGCGGATTGTTGTTGACAATCAATTGGATAGCATTGACGAAGCAGAAAAATGAGTTGAGCAATATGGAATATGTAGGGTTGTTTATTAAATTCAATTTATTTCGCTATTTGCGGTGAGTATGTCGGAGGGTATAGAAACATTTAAAGTCGTCGCACACACATGTAATGTCCCGTTATTTTGTTATTGCAGTTTAACCATACCATACGCTTTCGTTATACTACTGAGTGGTGTTTACTTTGAGAACCCTGGTGGCCCACTTTGGCGGCACATTGTTGAACGTGAACAACTCGCTTGTCGCAAAAATTGGTGGGTCAATCTGCTCTACATCAACAACTATTATAGAAACAATGAAAAGGTAAGTACGAAATGAAGAATTCTTATTTTGCAGATTAAGGTATTTAGAATTTGAACTACGATTTGAGGTTATTTAGCAATTTATCTGTCCATACGAGAACTTATTCATCAGATATTCCAACCAAACTTTCGAAACTACTAAACTGCTATCTGCCCGACCTTTTCCAATTCTTCTCGGCACGACACATAAAGCACTCGCCAGCTCTCTTTACCAGTTGAACGAAGGAGTATCTGCCCAACCTCAATGAGAGAGCTAATGGCAAAAAAAAATCTGACAACTAACAACCCAATACTGACAGTCACATTTGACAGCCTGCAGTTCTTCACTCCGCATACGACAGCAATTGCCACAAAAGCACAAAGAAACGTTGATCGCTTGGTCGTTCATTATGTTGCTCCGGTTTGAACTCTGAGCACTGACGAGGCGCCGATGAATAAGCTGCAAACATGATGGAAAATCACCCTTAGGACTATGGTAGGAAACCTCATGAGGTCTCCGAAGCATCACTTGCATAATATCTATGCTAAGTGTTTAGGAGCCTAATGTTATACAGCGGCAGCAATGTCTGATGGGTTGCTACATCGAGATCTTTACTACCTACATTTACTTGAGGCAGAACAACTACCTAGGAACATCAGAAAGGGAATACTTGACTACACGGACTTCATTCAGTACCATATACAAGAACCACTGGAACGAACGGCATAGCAAAAGACCCTCGGAGTTAGGGGTTCAAGAATTGATTTGTGGTAAGGCATGCCTGTCGTAAGAGGGAAATAAATTCTAATAGTTCCCACGGGAATGTGGTCTTTATACCCGATTTTTATCCAGTCAAGGACTGTCACTCCCGTAGAACTCCCCAAAAACCAACAACAACAACAACAACAACAACACAGCGTACGTAAATGCTTTAACCGTCATTCGCCGAATGGCGTTCTCGGAATCCAAACACCAGTTATTGCAATGAGACACCACACGACACTAATCACTTTTTTGTAAGTCTCTTAAAACCGACTCATCTAACTCCGCTTTCCCTCTGGTCCGAGCCCGTCGAATAGCTCGCTTTCTGGAACTACCGCTAGATAACCAAGTTGACTTGGGATTAGTTACGCCTGCTCCTAGGCGTGGTTGGATTGCATGAAATTTCGTGTTCGACACTCGTATTTACAAAAAAAAAACCAACGAAATTGGAAACCCAATTAGTTATATTTCATCCTAAAATTAAATACCATAAATTTAATGTGGTTATTATAGGTATAGAGATATCGGTTCTTTCTTTCTTTGAAACCTTACCATTTCTCTTTGCATATATATGTACGTATGTATACGTCCATTATTTCAGGAATTTGATTTAGAAATGTTTAATTGTACAATTTTTGTAACTTTTTGAAAATATATGTATGTGTGTACATGGACGAAGTGGGCATGTCTATAGCACAAATCATTAATTTCTCAAGTTCTTCTCTTACAGTGCATGCTCCAGAGTTGGTATTTGGCATCTGACACTTTTTCCTTCATCATTTCATTGCTCTTGCTCATGATGGCACACAAGTATGATATACAATTTGAGTTCCTTTGTGTCTCAGATTCAAAATAAATAAAATATGATTCGTTTTCCCACACAGATGGCCACAGATACGTAATTGGCTGTTCGGTTGTGTTGGCGGCTTCTTCTATGTACTGCCTGGATTTATAGCATATTTTGGCGAATATGATCCATTTTTTGTACCATCACCACAGTGAGTTTAGCATATTTATTTAAATTTCATTTTTTTCTCTCTTTTTTTTGTTAAATTTGCTCTCCAAACACAGAACCCAGAAGGACTCGTTTATCGATGATCGCGAATTCAGTGAATTTTATGCACCATTTCATATGAATTTCGCTTGCTATTTATGCGGTGTACTCGCCGCCATAGCAAACGATGAAATTACAACAAAACAATTCAAATTGCATAAATATAAATTATTTCAATGCCTCTGGTATGCGCTAATACCATTTGGCGTCTTATGGCTCTTTTCGGCACATCCAATTTATCAGCATTACTATGAGGATCAACCTCGTTTTTGGAATAGTGTTTATGCCGCCATACAACGCAACAGTTGGGCTTTGGGTTTGGGCGTTTTCGTTTTAGGCATGTCATGTAAAGTAGGAGGTAAGAACAATTTTTAAAACAATTTTAAATGAAAAAAAAATATTACAACTCTATAAATTTCATTGCAGGTCTATTTCGCAAATTCTCTTACTTGCCCATATTCCGCATATTGGGTCGTCTAACATACGGCGCCTTCGTTATACATATATTTGTGGCACGCATAGTTTTGGGAACATTGCGCACACCACTTTATTTCGGTCCAGGCATTATGGTGAGTGAAATAGAATATTTATATTTTAGTTTTTGATGAATTTCTATAACGAATTTACTTTCAGATTTACTTTGTACTCTCCACGTTGGTAGTTTCTTATTTGCTCTCACTGGTATTGGCAGTATTAGTTGAATTACCTACATCCGCTTTGCTCAAACTTGTGCGTTGAATTTAAATAACGCAATTGTGGCTTCAAAATGGCTTAATTTTTAAAGACTTATTTCACAAAATCAATATAATATAAGTTTATATATATATATAGTGTATAATACAATATTTGTATTACTAAGATTTATAAATTTAAGGTTTTCTAAATAGATATGCATGTATGTATGATAAAAAAAAATTTTAACAACGGTCTTATAAATCATTCGTTCAAGGGGAAAAGCAAATCAAGTGGCGCTCTATTTTCTAAAAAACAAAAAAAGGAAAGTTAATGTGATCGAAGTTAATATGATCGAGGCGGCAAGCAGATGTGCGGCCTTTTTTATGAAATTACGTTTAGCAAAATAAAATTTAAAAACTATTTTCTAAAATTTCTCCTCTTTGCAGTCTACAATCTTAAAAGCTTATTGATTGTGATACAATTGAATAAAAACAGGTTTATAAATACCCAGTCTTAAGGTTTTCCAACCAACACATATGTAAAATTTCATGATTTGTACATTTAGTTAATTACCTTACATTCACAGCGCAAGTCTGTTCGTCGCCTTCTTTGTCGCGTAAACCCATATAAAAGGATTTAATCATTTCAGCAGCTTCATCATTTAATAATGGGCGCACATGTTGTCTTGCGTAAGCTAAAAAACCATATACATTTTAATACAGTACAAAATAAATATATCTCATACAAGTAAAGTACCTATGAATTTTTTTAACAAAATAGGCGGTAACAAATCCAGCTCTTCTTCTTTATAGTTAAGATTTTTTAATTTTAAACGATTGCTTAAGTCATAATGCTCGTCATCCAATTCGTCTTCATCGATTATGTTGCTTATGGAATTATTTGATTTTGGTTTTACTTCAAATCGCTGCGCAATCGCCGTATTTTTCTTTACACCATCATGTACTGATCTAATGTGTTCTGTTAATGAAGTGTCCAAATCTTTGTTGGATTTATCCAATAACAAAAACACTAAGTTAAATTGCTGTAATAATGTTGTACTCAAACGAGTATTCTCAGTGAGCAGACGTGAATGATCGTAGTGACCATGTAGTGAATTTGCGGCAGCGATAACAGAGGTAGGCATTGTAATTGTAGAGCATAAATTAGGAAATGGCAGTGAAACCATTTTTGATTGCATTATTTGCATCAAAGGACCTTGTTCGGAAGCTAAACGATCAAGGTCATCGATTGCACAGTGACCAGCGTTCGCATTTGCTAGTGCTCCTGAGCTGAGGATGTGATTAGTGGATCCATGAAATGCGCTGGCCAATGTTTGTGTTGTAGGAGACCGATGTTTACCACTAACAATTGTGCCTATAATATATTAGAATAATGTATACAAAAAGTTAGAATTTTATAAATTTCCATTTTACCTTTCTGTGACACTTTAGCAGCCATTTCTAACAAATGCGATTTGCCAATGCCGGGATCACCAACCAATAGTACATTAATTTCCGACTCTTCATGTATTTGTGAACCAGCACCACCAAAAAGAGATAGCAGCACACCAGCTTTCATTAATTCTTCACCATGCAGTTCTGGCGCCACAGAGTGCGAGAGTAGTTTAAAACTGTCTGGTTCAGAATTTATCATCGCAATGGCATCCATATCCCGTTGGGTGAAATTGTGTCTTAAATCTTTGGCATCACCTATTGAAACAGCTTTCATATAAATTTTGCTCGTAGACTCAGATGTACTTGGATATGTATTCTGGTCAGCATCCAGTGTTCGCAATTTAATTATGCCGTTTATAATTACATCCTGCCCACATACAAGTGTGTCGACCAAATCGTATTTTAGCTCAATATCAAGAAATGCAGATGTCTCGAAATCTAAGTCGATAGGAGCTTGTATATTACTCTCTTGGATTTGCACTATTTGTGTAGGTGTGATACGTGTAAAGGGAGAAGAGCGTTGCTCTATGAACTTCTTTTTAGCTAGACATCCTTCTTTTTTGCACTTTTGTGGACGAATCACAGAATATCCTGTTAGGGAAAGAAAATATTAATTATAGTATTTTTAAAGAAACCCTACTGACCTTTCTGTCTTTGTGTTTGCTCCTGTCCACAGCGCGAACACTTATATGCTATCCATGTGGCCATTGCTTCAACTGTTCCTATGGCTGATACACTTCCACGTACACTGCACATAATATCTACCATGGATCTATCTATTTGTGACATAATATGCAGCTCTGAAAAACCTTCCGGTCTTACAAATATCTTTCGTGGTAAAGTACAGCGCGGCACATAACAATCTTTAGTACTTTTTTGCTGACTTTGAGAGCTGTTAATAGCATCCAGAGTCACTACTTTGTGCATAGCAGCACCGAAAGTGGCCAAAGTACTCTGCGCGCGTTCAAGCATATCTGTTTTTACATTAGGCCACACATTTGTAAGTAAATTATCGCCACATACCAGATTTGCCTCTAACTTAAAACACTTCTCTAATTGTATTTGTTTCAGATTATAAACTCCTGCATTATTAATATAATGCTGTCCAATAACCTCGATCCGTTTTGCAAGATCGGAAGTTTCGCTATACTTTTCTTCTTGGAAATATAAATGCCAACCAGGGCATTGTAAGGGCATATCAACAGTCACACTTTGTACTGTTTGCTTAGCATCTATTGGCGCAGAATAACACTCTGGCCGAAGGAAGCTCGAGTCTGCGGCCATGTTAGATAGTTGTATAATGCCATTATTTTGTTGTCCTCTTCTCCGTTGTCGTCCACAGCCACCTACATTAGCATCGCCATGTCCTCCAGCAGGAATTGTACGTCCATTACGGCGAAAATAGAAGTACGGACGATACGCACCTCCACCTCGCCCGCGACCACGGATGAAACGACCATTACCACGCGTTGCAGGAGGATTCATTGTATTTGAAACAAAAATATAACACCGTTGTCTAGTTTTCAATACAGAAATTTAAATTTATATTGAACGCGCGCACAAAATTTGTATCTATTCAATAATACTTGTCATTGTATTCAAAACAAGCCAGTCAGCTGTTTGCTTGTTTATATTGCGCCTAAATGTAGTCACTTTTAACACGTTAATCACTGTAGAGCTGCCAGTCGAAGAAAATTTGATTTCTATTCGAATTGATTTAGTCGGATTAAGTAACGATTTTATGTACCTGTATTAAGTGTTTAAATATCTTCTGACAGATGACATAAGATAGTAAAATAAATAATAAATAATAGTGTTTTTATTTGTTAAAACATTCAAAAATTTTCACATAAAAATGTATACCTTATATTATACTTTATTTTAATTAAGCAGTAGATAGTATTGTATCTTAAATAAATAATTGGGTTTTACGTGCAAAAGGGGGAAAAGACGTTACGCGCGGTTGTAAGGTTCATGTGTCGCTATTTCTTGACGCACTTGACATTCATCTTAACGCTATGCTTTTGGCTCTCATTCTTGAACGTATAGTCATACATTTATACATACATTCATACATACCTACGTTTATATAATACATATGCAATTCTATTCATATGTATAGCTACGTAAGAATTAAGGGCCGTTTTTACCAACTCCGGTTAAGCACTTAATCATGACTTAATCGGAAGGTAGCATAAAATTCGCTCTCACAATGCCTGGTTAAGGCGGATCTGTCAATTAAGTTGCGGTTAACTTAACGCCAACATTGATTAGTTCTTAACCAGAAAATAATTTGACAGTCGGAAATTGTAAAATAATAAATAAAATAGTATTCCGGTGTTGGCTTCAAAATACATTTCGTCTATCCAAAATTAGTGCAAAATACATTATGGAAAAATGGAAAGAAAAATTGGAAGCCGCACTGGAAGGTTTGTGAAAATAATGTGCTTTGAGTAAATAGCTTTTTTTGGTAATTTATTTGATTTTGCAGAAATAAAGCAGAGGAAATTTTGTTTTGAACATAACGTTTTTATGCATCGGGAAGTGTTTTGATTTGTGTTCCTGTGCTGGGCCCAATAAAAGTGGGGACTGCCAAGTCGGGTGGTAAATAATATACATTGCTAACGTGGCACTTTTCCTCTCATTCCCGAAAAAAGCACAATGCACACATTTCACAGAATAGCGAAGTTTCCAAAGGTGTTGGATTGCACTCATGTAAAAGTCCAATCACCTGGAGATGAAAATGCCGAAAGTTATCGAAGGAGAAAAGGGTACTTGTAAAATGGACGAAATGAACTTGGTATGCAGGTGACCTGGTTCTGGACATGGCAGCATTAATTTTAATAACAGCTGTCTGAACCACCATTGTATGAATATCATTGTTGCCTGTACAGTGTTGCACAAGTTTGCTATCTAGAATTACTCTAATTTGGATGAGGTAGAAGTTCAATCGAATGAGCCAGCAGATACATCCGTTGATGCCGACGAAAACATAGCTGGCGTGCAAGGAAACTATATATATTACATATATTACATACATTTTATACATGTAATTTAAAACTATCAAAGCATTTTTTCCCGAAATGGAAATACATGAAATAAATTTCATTAAACTAAAATTTTTTTCCATAACCACAAAATAAAATTAAAAAAAGAAAAAAACGGCAGATCTTAAGAATTACTCAACAATGCAGTTTTGATGTATTCACATCACAATTTTTTGTGAATTTACCTTCAAACATTCACAATTATCAAACTAACCAGAAGTTAAGTAATCAGAATTTTGTGAAAACGAAAGTGTCATATCAGCCTATCTGACGGTTAGCTATCCTCCGGTTAAAGGTTAAGTTAATCGGACATTGTGAAAACGGGCATAAGTCTAACTAGTGCCCAATTCTCATGCATTCCCTTGTTAGTTAGTACATAAAATAGCCCAAAGCAATCTCAACTCATCGAAACAATAACAATTATTTCACTTGCATGGCATAAAACATGTACCTTAAATATACATATATACATATTCTTCATACATATGTATGTATAAAACTATGATATGTATTCATTTAGGTACATATTTAAAATAAATAGCAAAAATATGTCAAAATATAAATTCGTGTAGAACGGAACATTAAACCCCAGGCTAACTTATTACAGATCGGTTGAAAATAGAAACTCTGTGGGGGTGGAAAGAAATAAGATCGTTAGATGACCGATCGTGCCGATATTCAATTCGTTTCCACACTATACCATTAAGCTTTAAATATTTTTCGAATTCCGTCTCAGCCCAGTGATTTCTGAGTTATGAATACTTTTTGAGTGAAAGTAGGTGTGTATAGAATTTTTTTTTTTCATTGCTCATAACTTTCCATTTGGTTCGTTTCTGATTTGTGGCACAATCATTGCGTGAACCAATTATTTTTAATATTATTGGGTACACGTTTGAACGAATCTCATCATTCCAAGAGTTTTAATATATGTATCTAATTCATTTATTTTATGACACTTTATACAACCGTAAGCTAAACATAATTAATATACTCTGTGTACAAGTATGCCCTACAGTGTTGAAAACATTCTTAAGTACTTAACTGGTTATTTCTATTCATGTGTGACTAAGAATCATATACACTCACAGGCACACATTTACTTACGCTTATATTTACATATACATATATACATAATATATATGTACATACATTTCATCTCCATCATAGGGAAATAGAAGGAATACTAATTTTGGGCAGGATATTATGGGCGTAACCTACAATGATGTTTGACAAATATTGTACCTAAAGTAGTAAAGGGTGTTTTTTTTAGACACATGGTTTTCAAAAAGAAATAAAACCCATATAATTTAATGTTATGATTCGGGCAAGTGAATTCTGCGGATGGCTCAAATAAATTCCAGGCGGTATATTCGTGACATTTTTCAAATAAATTGAGCCCTATTCATTTTTCGGGGAAAAAATAAAGGCAAAATGCTATATATGTATGTTCCGAATTTCAGGCAAAAATCGAACCAAAAATACAGATCCACTTTCCGGAAGAAAAATTGAGATTATTTTTTTTTTTTAATTTGGAACAAATCATGGGAACTTAGCGCTTACGAATAATCTTACATGACACTATCAGTCCATTTTTCAGCACCAAAGTTGCACCGATTGCTCAACTTATACAAAGAATGCGCTCTCCAAGTATTCTACTATTTAGAGTCTAGGCTGCGCGTTAATATATGGATTTCCTCATTGACTTACACAAAGGTTTATATATATTGATTTTCAAACAAATGTAAGTCAATCCAATGAATTACTTTCAATTGGAAATGCACGCGTACACTGACGAACACACATTCAAGAAAAATCCTCGCAGGGAAAAGCCAATCTGGCATGTGGGAAGACTGGTTTTGAATTAAAATTTTAAAGACGAAATAAGGCCAGTTCGTCTGCATTGAGCAAAATGATTTTTGTTTATTATAACAACATTGTTGTATTCTATTTTCAGAGTGCGAACTAGTATTACACTAGTATGATGCTGGTGCATGGACGAAATGATGTCCCTGTGCTTAAAATGCCAATTGCTTGCATGGAAAAATGTCAGTTCATAATTAATCTACTTCCTTGCCGGGTTAGTAACATTTTCCTCAGTGTTGGCCTCTATTTGAATACCAATAACTTGTGTACTTGCAATACAATTTATTAATTGGAACAATCAGTTTATGAATAGTTCACATCCCTTCAAGCAGTTTATCGACAAACTACAACCATTCTAAAGCATTTTTAATTACCTTCAACATTTGCTTTGTTATTGTACTTATTCAATATACGTACACATTGAGCTGAAGCTTTAGCTTTTACTCATTTACATTCCTTAAATAGCAGGAATTCAAATGTCTTATTGTATTGCAACAGGGTGATTCCACAGGATTGATGTAGACAAATAATAAAAGAGGGAAGGATATTATACAACATAACTGCACTTTCTGTACAGATTTCCGTTTCCGTTCCACTGAGGTAGTCTGGTAGTCATCAATCTTGATTATATCAACTGAGAACGAGTGGGCAAGTAGGGTTTTGGGGACGTTCATTTAAATTTACTTACACATAAGTTTTAACTTTTGTTTCACTTAGGAGTCTTTGAGAAAATTTATAAGAGTGAAATAGAATAGAACTTCCTCAAAGTGGTTCTTAGTGAAAATTGCGGGAGTAACAGTTCTTGGCAGCTTAAAATTTCGGGTCGTTCCGGTACAAAGGCCTGTAGTGCGCGGAACTTTTCGAATTTTAGTAGCCTCTTATGATAAGAAAGTCTTACTGCTGTTAGAATCTAGAGCGCCTTACTGGCAGGTGTCACAAAAACAGTATTCTGCACACCTGAGCGGCGCTGAATTGCACTAAATTCGCTTTCGTACAGATCTACTAAGGGAAAGCAAGGAGTTTTTTTACGTTTTTTGGAGAAATCAATGATTGAGAACAGCTATAGAACGCTGAACTTTACCGAACTTGCTCTTGAAAGTGTTCTTAAGGATTTTCAACCGATCATACATGTCGAGTGTAACTAATACTTGTTGTATGTTTCAAACGGACCAACTTTGGTGTCAGTTGTCGTCTATTTCACATTGCCGGCTAAGGAGCTTATAGTGTAGTCATTACCCCTGATTTTGAGTTCTAGCTAAGGGCTAAAGAATCGAAACTTACTAAGTTTTTACTAGTTGTAAAGAGGCCACATTTCAGGCTGCTGGTAGGACTGTTAATGGGACATCTTTGCTCTGGTCTGATTGAGAACAACAAAGTGTAGGAAATGCCGGATATATACAAAATTTTACAGGCTTAATTGTCTTAGAAAGGCAAAAGGACCTTCAATCGGCAAAACGACTATTTCAATTTGCGATAATAACAGTAAGTAAATTCAAACTAGAGGCACAATATAGAGTACCTTTGCCATAGGTAGTCTGCCTTGTAACACTGAGGACGTGATATCGTCTAAGCGAG